AAATGTTGGCAGTTTTCTCAAAAAATGCTTGAATTCAAGAAGTTTTAGATTTGCGTGGTTTTTTTTTGAGTTGCAAAATCCACTTGAACATGACGTTGCTTTGTTTGCTCTCTGTCTTTGTTTGCTCTCTAATATTCCCGTTGGAAAACGATGTTTTTTGCTTAATTTGCTCTTTAGTATTCCCAACCAGTGTCGTGGCCAAAAGAGGCCAAAATATGTGCTTGCAAAGTAATAAGTCCTGGAATTTTCAGAAAAACTGATAAATTTGCACTTGAAGCGATGATATGCTCAACGAGAGAGAACCTGAAAGAGCTGCTTTTGCCACCGAAAATATGCTGCTTAAACTCTCAGAGCTGGCCTTTTAAACGTTGGTTTGCACTTCCCAAAGACGCACTTTTTCGCCGTTTTGCTGCATTTGTTTTTAGTATTATTTCAACGTTTTTATCTGCTTATACCACTTAATTACCTAATTTATAACACAATAAATTTCATCTGTTAGTTGCAGATCCCGAAATACGACCAACCCATCAAAATTTAATCCGGATCGACAGATCAGTATAAAAAGCGCTGCAAACCAAGAAAATCAATCTTTGGTAATTAAGATGTCATCCTTATGGCTCCTCGCTGTGCTGGCAATAAAAGCCGTTTTTGCCAATAATGTAAGTTAACTGAGAAAAACAAGGCAATTAATCAGAAGAGGCGTTTTTAGGAACAATTTGAGCTGTACAAGAACGCCAAGCCAGGACACATGGAATTGGACCCGAAGTACGGGCACATTTTCGACACTGAATTCTTCCAGAATTGCCAGGACAATCGCATTGCGGGTGGTGGATGGGAATCCGAGCCGAATTCGCGACCATACCAGGTAACTAGCAGCTTTGTGATAAATTCTGAAAAAATATTTGGAAAACCTAAAGCATATTCAACTCTCAGGTAGGGATCTACGTCCCAACGGCCAACTCAGGGGTCAGTTTCTGCGGAGGATCGATCATAGGCCCTCAAGCCTTCCTCACAGCAGCCCACTGCCTCGATATGTAAGTCCAAACAGTCAAAATCATCCCACAATCTCAACAATTCACTTCCAGTTCCAATGGGGATCCGATCACGATCCACTTGGGAGCCCATCATATGCCGCCAACAAGTGCAGACGAAGGTCTTCGCACTTTAACCACCAGCCACTTTCTGCTACACCCAGAGTGGAACGCCGCGACAATCCAGAACGACATTGCCATTATCTTCACAAACCTTGATTATATCGTGCAGAATGGTAGGTCGAGTGCGACAACTCTTTGGCCTTTACGAAACAAGCCTTTCCGTCTTCAGAGTACATTCAGTATATTCCGCTGGCCTCAAACCCAAGTGAAAGCTACTTAGGAAAAGAGGCGGTGGTCAGTGGCTGGGGCCTCCAGGGAGACGATCACTCAGCAATTTCCCCGGTTCTAAGAGAAGTGAAATCGACCATCATCAGCAATTTGGCATGTAGAATGGCCTACATGGGGCAAGTTCAAAGGCACCATATATGCTTGTCAGGAGAAGAGCGGCGCAGCACTTGCCGGGGCGATTCTGGAGGCCCATTGGTTGTCGACGGGGAACAGGTAGGAGCACAAACATTCCTTAGAACCAGACAGAAGCAACCGCGAGAGCTATTTTAGGTCGGGGTGGTGTCTTTTGGTACTTCAGCTGGATGCGAAGTCGGATGGCCGCCTGCGTTTGCCCGCGTAACCACATACATCGACTGGATTAATCAAAACGTGGAATTCTTCAGGAAGCACCAACGAATCATGGAACAGTAGGAAGCTTTGCGACAACACCACGAATTCAAACAAATATGGGGAATTTTCTCGCTCATACCCTGCAAATATTAAACACTGAGAATTTCATTACTAATATGTATATTAAGTTTATCCCACGACTAACCATGAAAACAAATCAAGAGTAAAAACCAATCAAAGCAAAAACGATACGCGAATAATAAGCGAAAGGTGAAAAGTATTGATATCTAACAGGTTTCTATAACCTAGTGTCGTCGCTTCCTGGTTCTTCGACTTCTGGATGAGCTTGAACTAGAACTGCTGTACGATCTTCTTCTCGGCTTATCCCTGGAGCGAGACCGCGATCTTCGGTTACTCGTTTTCTTTCTTCTGCAATGAGAATTCAAGACAAACAAATGTCGATCATTCGTTAAACCACTACGCGGTTACATAAGTTTCGTCAGTTTTAAATACATTTTTTGAAAGTGGGATTTCCAATGTCTAACGGAAATTGATGGCTTTCTCGTCATATCAAGTTACACAAAAAAATAAAGGTCAATCAATAAAGTCCTGTGGGAAAATTGACAATGTTTCCAAATATCTTTTGATGTAAAACCTTCTTTGGCCCAGATTCCTTGTAGTCGTTAGAATATTGCATTTTAAGTATCTTGTAATCCGGATCCTTACGGGTTTCGGTAATCCGCAAGTACATATAGTCTGTACGCTATAACTTTGGTCGCGCGTCATCAATCGTCGGTCGAGCGTTGTTGCCATACCCGCCATAAATTCTCGAAGCAGTATTAAAGTATCTCAATGCTGTCTCGCTTTTGCTGATTATCATTATTGGCATTATATACAATTTGTATATACTTTCCTGACTGTGTTTTACAGCAAAGAAACATGGCAGAACAAAC